CTGCTGAGGCACTATTGAGCCTTCAGCTCGTCTGGATCGTTGGATCCACTGTTTCTCATCTTTCTTTTGAAAATATCCCATAGATTCTATATGAGGTTCAGGTCAGGCATGTTGGCTGGCCAATCAAGCACAGTAATATCATGTCAGCAAACCACTTGGAGTCCTGCTGGAAAATGAAATCAGCATCTCAATAAAGCTTGTCAGCAGATGGAAGCATAAAGTGCTCCAAAATCTCCTGGTAGATGGCTGCATTGACTTTGGACTTGATAAAACACAATGGACTAACACCAGCAGACGTCACATCACCCCAAATCATCACCGAGTTTGGAAAGTTCACACCGGACTTCAAGCAGCTTGAATTCTGTGCCTCTCCAGTCTTCCTCCAGACTCCAGCCCTTGATTTCCAAATGAAATGCAAAATTTACTTTTATCTGAAAAGAGGACTTTGGACCACTGAGCAACAGTCCAGTTCTTTTTCTCCTTAGCCCAGGTAAGATGCTTCTGACGTTGTTTCTGTTTCAGAAGTGGCTGGTAGCCTGAAGACGTCTGAGCATAGTGACTCTTGATGCATTGACTCCAGCTTCAGTCCACTCCTTGTGAAGCTCTCCCAAGTGTTTGAATTGGCTTTGCTTGACAGTATTCTCAAGCTTGTGGTCATCCCTGTTGCTTGTGCACCTTTTCCTACCCATTTTCTTCCTTCCAGTCAACTTTGCATTTAATATGCTTTGAAACAGCACTCTGTGAACAGCCACCACTTTCAGTAATGACCTTCTGTGACTTACACTCTTTGTAGAGGGTGTCAATGATTGTCTTCTGGACCATTGCCAAGTCAGCAGTCTTCCCCATTATTGTGGTTTCAAAGAACAAGAGATACTCGGAATTTATACTGTAGGGATGGCCATTTAATGAAACTCAAATGTAAATATTCTAATATTTTGAGATACTAGATTGTTGACTTTCATGAGCTGTAAGCTCTAATCAGCAAAATTAAAACAAAATAACTTTTGAAATGTTTTACTTTACATGTAATGAATCTAGAATATATGAAAGTTTCACTTTTTGAAATAAGTTACAAAAAAATAACTTTTTCACGATATTCTAATTTTTTGAGATGCACCTGTATATTTGATGTGTTTGTGTATGTGTATATTCAGGATAACATTTACAAAACATTTTCCGAAGTAAAATATGACATTTAACAAATATTGGATGCTTTTTGTTCTATTATTATTTTATGGTGTTATTATAAAGCATTTAGTGTGACATTCATAATCATTTATAATACTAAATATATTTCATATTCATATGTTTTAAAGTATATTTTATATAAGTACATATTAAAGTATTTAAATATATTTAGGGCAAAAATATGTACATTAAATATGTATGACCTATATAAAGATCGCATCACCCCAACTTCTTCCTCGTCGGCTTTTCCCACGTTTTCACAGGAGATTTATCAAGAACAGGCTTGCTCTGCGGTGATTGATGCGGGCCAAAGAGCAAGGCAGGAGGAGAAGAAGAGAGTAGTTGAATTGGTAAAGTGCTTGATAGGGACTCGCAACGGAGTGTATGTGTAAACACTTTTTAATAAAACGTAAATTCGTCCCCCGCGATTTTTTAGCCAAGTCAAGTCAAGTGTGTTCATAGAGGTTTCCATGGGCCAATGCGAATAAAGCTAGATTTAAATAAAAAAGACACGATATTGTCGGACCTGACGTTTTATTCTTATCCAAAACAAGATGTGATATGAATGTGATACATAGGCTACATACATACACTACCAGTCAAACTTTTTTGAACAGTAAGAAAGATCCAATAGAAAGATCCAAAGATCAGCATTCATATGAAATATTTTTTCATTGTATTTTTTCAAATATTTATTTTGTAACATTATACATATTCAAAAGCTTGGAGTCAGTATTTTTATTTTATTTTTTATTTTATTTTTATTTTTTTGGGAAATGATAGAAATTAATACTTTTATTTAGCAAAGATGCTTTAAATTTATCAAAAGTGACTATAAAGACATTTATAATGTTACAAAAAAAATTATATTTCAGATAAATGCTGTTCTTCTGAACTTTCTATTAATCAAAGAAACCTGAAAAATTCTACTCAGCTGTTTTCAACATAATAATAATAATAATAATAAATTTTTTGAGCAGCAAATCAGAATATTTGAATGATTTCTGATGGATCATGAGACTGGAGTAATGATGCTAAAAATTCATCTTTGAAATCACAAGAATAAATTACATTTTAAAATATATTCAAATAGAAAGTTATTTTAAATAGTAAAAATATTTCACTATATTACTACTTTTGCTGTATTTTGGATCAAATAAATGCAGGCTTGGTGAGCAGAAGGAGAATTCTTTAAAAAACATAAAAAATCTTACTGTTCAAAAACTTTTGACTGGTATAGTGTGTATATATATATATATTGAAGTGGTGATGGGCCGCCTGGACCAAAAAATGCCAGGGCCGATTTTTTGTCCCAGTCCAGCCCTGCTTCAGGATGATGATGGCCATTTCATATTTTTAGAATATTTTAGAATAAACTGTCACACCATAGGACTGTTTACAAATCCTGACAAACTTATTGTTAAAGTCTGCATGAACTGGAAGTCATAGTCTTGGATTGTAATGTGTTTTCGAGTGAAGCAGAATACTAAATTTGAAAAAAAAATGAGGGCGGGCCTTGATTGTAATGCACGTCTTTAAATTCTAAGATTCTAAAAAAAAAGATTTTAATTTTTTTTAGATTGAAATAAAAAAAAAAAACCTAAAATTAAATAGGGTCAGGTTTGATTTCATGCAGACTTTAAAGGTCACCTGTCTGTGTTTATGCATTGAACAAAGTGATTTTGAAATGGAGGACGTTTAAAGAATTACCTTTTTTAGACAGAGGCTCATAAATGGGCATTACTTTATGACCAGGTAAAATAGATGCAATCAGACACTTGCATGCGAAAGTAGAGAAATGGAGGAAGGCAGCGAGAAGGAGGAGAAGGAGAGGGGGTGGGGCGAGGGGAAGGTCAGAGTGCAGCTGTGCATGATAAAGATGTTGGCGACTTGGCGCCTTCGTCGGGATTCTCTGCACGCAGGCCAGATATTACCTCTTTCTCCACATGTCATTCCAACCCATTCCGCAAGACACGAGAGCTGAAGGAGGCTGTTTAACTCCTTCATGAGTCAGAGCGAAAGGATTAGCTTTTCATTTAAGCCTGTAATCATGACTACTCAATGCTAACTATCCCAAGCACAGATTGGAGCTGGCCATCTAGGTCAGGGGTTTTCAAACTGGGGTCCAGAACCTCAAAGGGGGCCGCAAGGGGGTGCTAGGGGGTTCGTAAAAAAATTAACAGAAAAAAAATGTAATGCAAGTTAATGTATGCACTTAAAGGTGCAATAGGTGGTTGTCTTCGGAAAAATTTTTTGTTATGCTGGTTGAAAGTCTCTTCACATTCCGATAGCAATCATTAAGTTACGTGGTCTAAATGTATTTATATGTATTTATTAGGGCTGCCCCTAATAGTTGACTAATCATTAGTCGACCAGAAGAAGCTTGGTCGACCAACATTTTATTAGTCGCTTAGTCGCAGAAAACAAAATCCACAGGCGATTTCACGCAGTCAGTGACGAACAGATCGTTAACGGCTAGTCTTTGGTAATACAGTACATCAGGCAGGACATCCAAACGCTCCTCCATCATTCATCGACCTCAAATATGGCTTATCATCTGAAATATGTAAGTAGCCTATTAGCAGCTTTACATGGCCGCTCAATCTAATGTTAACCTAGAGGAATGTGCGCTGTTCAAGTGTTTGTGCAGAGTGTGGAAGCTGAACAGTAGCTCACTGCAGGACAGATGGAGGCGCCGGTGCGCTCATTTGATCTTAAAATACTCCGTAATTTTTGGTCATACAGATAAATATAATAAATTTTTTGAATCTGTAAAGACTCTACATTTTTTTTTGTGTGTGTATTTGTGTGAGCATAATACAGCGCTTATGTGAAAGCAAACAGGATGTGCTTTCTGCCATCTCGGTCTGTGAACTTGAGCGTGAAACTCCATGTATATCTTTGCCTTACAGACATTAAAAACATATCAATATCTATAAATGTCTACTTTAAAATGAAACCATTCAAATGGAAAACAAATTGTCATATTATGTAATCCATATGAAACATGCATACAGGCGCATTACTACTGCGGAGATGACGAGGCGGTGTTGCCGACTTCATCTCTGAAGCTGAAAACAAAGAAAGCACTAGTTTATCAAATGTTAATGCAGTCTCCTTACTGTTTTTCACTGACATATTTATAATCATTACTTCTGCCGGTGCGCTGTGGCAAGCTTTATGCGCGTACTTGAGCGCTTATTAGGCTATGTAGGCAATTAAAGGCTCATTATAATGATTTAAATGGTTTATTATTAAGCGTGCGATTAGTCGACTAATGCTTCAAATGAACGACTACTAGTCGACCAGAAAAATCCTTAGTCGAGGACAGCCCTAGTATTTATTAGTGCTGTCAATCGATAAAAAAAAAAAAACTAATTAATCGCACATTTTTCTGAAATTAATCGCGATTAATTGCGATTAATCCCATCTAAAATTAAAGTTTTTAAATATACTTTTATATTGCAGTAATTTCACATTAAATCTTCAAATTAATTTAAAAACAACATAAAGACAGTATATTTTTAATATTTGTTAAATGCCATTTTTTTATGACTGAAGGCCAGTATCAATTATATTAATACTGATTTCTCTATAAAATTGCCCCCTCCCAATATTTAACCATTGACTATAGCCATTCAACATTACAGTATAATTGAGAGCTATCAATTTTAACATTTATTAGACTTTAAAAAAGAACTTCTAATTTAAGTGAACTTAAAACAATCTTCACATAAACCCATTTTAATAAATATCATATTTACCTGTGCCCTTCAGCAGAAATATACAGAAATTTAAATTATCAAACACTAATAGACTAATAGACATCACAGCAGCTGGTTATTAGGTTATTTTGGTTATTTCTTTAAGAGCTGCCGCTGCTCAACGTGACGTGGATCTGACAAGCATCATAGTTTCTCTCAAATCTTTTTACCTTTTATTTACATTTACATTTACATTTAGTCATTTAGCAGACGCTTCTATCCAAAGCGACTTACAATTGGGGGATACATAAAGCGATTCTTCTTAAAGAGGCAAACAGACACAAGAAGTGGTTGTAATACCAAGTTCTTAGACATTGTTCAAATAAGTACAAGCTAGAAAGAGAAGGCATAAATAAAGAGAGATACTTATTTTATTTTTTTTTTAAATTTTTTATGATGAAGTCAAGTAGCTTCGAAAGAGATGAGTTTTCAGCTGTCGCTTGAAAATTGTCAGGGATTCAGCATTCCGGATAGGGGTGGGAAGATCGTTCCACCAGCCAGGAGTGGTGAACGAGAATGTTCTGGAAAGTGATTTTGAGCCTCTCTGTGATGGTACCACGAGGCGTCGCTCACTAGCGGATCTCAGACTTCTGAAGGGGATGTAAATTCGTAGTAGTGAGTGGAAGTAGGCGGGTGCTGAGCCTGTGGCTGTTCTATATACAAGCATCAATGTCTTGAACTTGATTCGAGCCGCAACCAGTAGCCAGTGCAAGGAGATAAAGAGAGGTGTAACATGGGCTCTTTTGGGCTCGTTGAAGACCAGTCGTGCCGCTGCATTCTGAATCATTTGTAGAGGTTTGATTGTGCTTGATGGGAGTCCAGCCAGAAGAGCATTGCAGTAGTCCAGCCTAGAGATGACAAGGGCCTGGACAAGAAGTTGTGCAGCATGCTCCGTTAGAAAGGGCCTGATCTTTCTGATGTTGTGCAATGCAAACCTGCAAGATCGAGCGGTCTTTGCAATGTGGTCTTTGAAGGTCAGCTGGTTATCAAAAGTTACACCAAGATTTCTGACCGAAGTTGATGGGGTAATTGTAGAAGAACCTAGCTGGATGGAAAAATCATACTGTAGAGTTGGAGTGGCAGGGAAGACAAGAAGCTCAGTCTTTTTTATGACCACTTCGGGTCTTAAAGTCTCTATTAATGAGCTGACGAGTTAAATCGGGTGTGTTAGATCAGAGTGACAGTGCTGGGCTGCTCCAGGACAGTTTTGAAAACCATTTCAGAGATATGTTCTTGAAATGTGACTCGTATAAAATACATTACATGCATGCACAGTTTTAAGGCAGCTTTAACTGCCATTTTGGTAACTTCATGACTTAACTGACCACGACATTGCATGCACGTAGTTTATTTCGCGATTTGATATGAAAGGATACAGGATACAGCGTGCCGGAGCCTTTGTGCGTGCAATTGAAGAGCAGTTTCCGCGCTCACTTGACTCGCGCCTGGCGCTGAAGAGAAGTGGAGCACGCGTCTGAAACGTCTAGCTTTCACGTTCTTAATTGTGACTTCATGACTTAACTGACCACGACATTGCATGCACGTAGTTTATTTCGCGATTTGATATGAAAGGATACAGGATACAGCGTGCCGGAGCCTTTGTGCGTGCAATTGAAGAGCAGTTTCCGCGCTCACTTGACTCGCGCCTGGCACTGAAGAGAAGTGGAGCACGCGTCTGAAACGTCTCCCGTTCTCAGTCGTTCTGCGACTGAATAAATGCACTTCTTGTCAAGAGAAAAAGTGCCAGAAGCAGCAGTTGTGAGTGGGGTGGCCAACCCTAGCCCCACCCCTGCGTTAATTGCGTTAAATATTTTTTACGCGTTGAACTGAAAAAATGAATCGCCTGCGTTAACGAGCTAATTTTGACACCACTAGTATATATATATTCTGTGGAAGGCGTAGGACCAAGAAATGTTCGTTCCGAGCACCCTGTTCCTTCCTGGTATTGTAGTACTTTTACTAACTGTACTATAAAGTTTTCTCACCCGTGATTGACACATGATGTATTGTAGTAATGTTGTCTCTGGTTGTCTGGTCTGTGTGTGCATATGCATTCAGGTGGCTTTGTACGGCGATTTGTAGGGAGGGTGGGACTTTCGCTTTCAGTGCTATCAGGCTTCCAAGATGTCCTACTGCACCTTTAAGGAAATTATGAAGTTTTTGTTGTTGTTTTTTATTAATTTTTTTACATTCAGCAAATATGATACTATTACAATATTGCTTTGTAAAGTGCAGAAATCATAAGGGTTTGGTAGTACAGTCTTGAGTATTAAGCAATATATATATATATATATATATATACATTTATATGTATATACAGTATATATATATATATATATACATACATACACACACACACATACAGACACAGTGTGTATATATATATATATATATATATATGTGTGTGTGTGTGTGTGTGTGTGTGTGAGTGTGTGTGTGTGTTTATACATATTAGTTTTTCTTATATCATATAGAAATTATTTATGTTTATTTAAAGTATGTTATAAGTGTGTTTTGTATACATTTATATCAGACATAATATAAATTTATACAAATTTCAATGTTAATGTGATACTGACACACTTAAGATATTAATGAAGTGTGTGTATGTGTGTTATGTTCTGATTGAAAACAGAATTTGTTTAAATTTACTTTATTTAAATTATTTATATTTGTATGCATTTATATTTATTATTTATATATGGTAAAACTATTTTAAAGTGTTAATCTCAGATATGCTTAATAAATAGAAGATATTTTAGAGAATATTAATAATGACAATTTGCTTGAAAAAATATAAAATATATATATAAATAAAAATGTAAATTTAATTCAACTGCATTTCAAATTTGGAAACAATTATCTTGTAGGTCTTTATAATATCACACTTAATTTTTTTTTTTCTCACAAACTTTTTCCTAACATATTTAGGGGTCCTTGGTATCAAAATGTTTAAAATCCTAAGGTGGTCTTCAGGTCAACTCCTGGAGGTCAAGTTTTTAATGTCTCAAGATGGTACCACCACAAGCTATAATGTAATGTATGTTGTAAAACAGGACAAAGGCCAAGTTTGGGGCTATATATTGGAAGACTGATCTTGAAAATGTGAGGTTGGATGTGACGATGTCCTTCCCGGTGGCCGTGGTAACTCGATTCACGTGATTAGATTGTTATTAGTATTCCATGAGGCTGATCATCTATTGATCTCCTCCGTCTGTGAGATTTTGAGGACATCAAATACGTGAGGCAAAAGCTGCTTAGTTTGATGCATAGACCAAGAGGAAGGGAGGGTGGGTTGGATAAAATAAGTGAAAGAAAAAGAACGAGACAGCTGATGAAGACAAATCTAAGAAAAAATCCTGAGCATTGCATAGACTAAAAGCAGACAGGCAGAAATTTGGACATATTCGCTGGTTTTCACTCAACTCGAGCTGAGCTGCTTAAGATCGGGGAAGAAAAACTCCCATAACCCTTTCATCCACCTCCAGACCCCAGCATCTTCTCCGTTTATCCTTCCCTCACTCAGTCTGAATCTCTCAATCTCCGGTGGCTTGCCAAAAGACTTCAGTCAGCCGTTTCTGCTTGGCTACCCTCAGTAAATCAATCCTGCTGATTGGGTCTGCTCTCTGACAGGGCAAGGACCCTGACGAAGACTAAGAAAGATGTATACATGTCGCTCCTGGTTACAGTCACCTGGCTTTAGTGGCTTGGATTGGTGGGAAGGGCTCCAAGTGAAAGGGAGATGAATGGGAAAGGCAAGGTTATGTTTAGAACAGGCTAAATTAAAGTTTTAGGTTGAAAGCGAAATGTGTTTTTCTTCATCGCAGGCCATGACATTTTGAGTATCTATAGATTTGTGGCTTCTGCTTTCAAGTGTGTGCATTTACATTTGCATGCCCGTACATATGTTGAGTGGAGCTCGCTGCTTCTCTAATCTCAGAGTACCTTTGGGGACAGTGTTAAATTCATCAGTCATGCAAATGAATGCAGTTTATGAGTAGAATAATCTACCTCCTGCTCTCTGGAGAACATTGCTTTCAAAGAAGCACCATGATGGGATTTCCGCTTACCCTCTACAGATGCAGTGCAACCAATCAAAAGTACGGTGTGATGTTATTTCTGTTTGAAACATGCTAACTTTGTCATCTTTCGTTTTCTCATACATGTATGTGCATACATTACAGATGTCTGTATTTATTAGCATATTTGTGTTTTTTATTCTTTGGCAGGAGAATTTCAACCCAGAGTGCAAATTCAAAGAAAGTGTGTTTGAGAACTACTATGTGACGTACTCCTCCATGCTGTACCGCCAAAGCCAGTCTGGACGCTCGTGGTATATCGGCATCAACCGGGATGGCCAAGTGATGAAGGGCAACCGCGTGAAGAAGACCAAAGCAGCCGCACACTTCCTACCTAAAGTCATCGAAGGTCAGATCAGGATTAAACTTGAGAAACATTCAGATTAGGGCTGCATGATTAATCTAATGTGATTGTCATGCGCATCTTGTCAGTAAAGCTGGTTCTGTGATCAGTAGTAAATCTCCATCACATGCTTTCAGATGGAGCAATATTTACTACACAGAGCCGTGGTTCACTGACAAGCTATGCAAAATTGTGTTCATAATCGTAGAAGATATTATTGTGTGATTATGAAATCGATGATATCGTTCTGTGATTATGAAAGCTGTTTGCGTAGCTTGTCAGTGAATGACGGCTCTGTGTAGTAAATGCTGCTCCATCTAAAAGCATGTGAAAATACCACATTTAATAACATGTTTTTACTCCAAACTCACTTCATAACGTCAGTCGAGTGTTTTAAACAAAGCCTTCTTTGAGATTATGTGGCTTCTTACACAGAATAAGGCACACAATATTTCATAGTATTCTAAGCAGTGATAAAGGCTGTGTCGATTAGCATTGCATTATTATCTACTTTATTATAATAAAAATTATAATAAGACGAACTCAGATAAACCATATATTGTCGTAGTCGCATGTTTATTAGTCCCGCTGAATCAATGAAAGCAGTTAAAGGGGTCATATGATGTGATTCAATTTTTCCTTTCTCTTTGGAGTGTTACAAGCTCTTGGTGCATAAAGAAGATCTGTAAAGTTGCAAAGACTAAAGTCTCAAATCCAAAGAGATATTCTTTATAAAAGTTAAGAGTCAGCCACGCCTACCTAAAATGGCTCGTTCTAACATGCCCCCACATATCTACGACACTATTTGGGCAGCGTTATGCAACTCTTCCCACATCTTCATGCAAAGAAAGAAGGCGTATTCTTGCTGTATTGTTGCCGCCGCTGCCATGTCGAGAAGGAGCTGTGTACTTCGTTGTTAAAGCGAAACTACTTTGTTTGGCCTTCCAAAAGAGGACGATATCGGTAAGGGACGTAACATTTCCGTCACATGCTTGAGGAATTCGGCCAATCACAACGCACTGGATAGCTGGCCAATCAAAGCACACTTCGCTTTTTCAGACCGATGAGCTTTGTAAAAAATCTACGCGTTTCAGAAAGGCGGGGCATAGAGGAGAAACAATAATGTACAGTATGTGGAAAATAATGTGTTTTTTGAACCTTAAACCGCATAAACACATTTCATTACACCAAATACACAAAATAATGTTATTTTTAGCAGCATCATATGACCCCTTTAAATCTTCTGTTTATTCAGCAACCACTATAGGGATTTCCTGGATTCCCCTTCAGGAACTCGAGCTGCGTCGAGTCGCTTTGGGAACGCCCTTGCGTGACCGCGTTCTGAAGCACGTGTCAAATCCGTCCAATGGAGCAGCGAGACGTCACGAGCAGGGTGACGTAAGCACCAGAAAGCATAAAAGCGCATCCGGCCGGGCGCAAACCAGCTTCTGCCCTTCAGTAGCGCTCTGTGTACCGCACCCCTCCACAGAAAGATCGGGGGTCGGGGCGATGCTCTCAGTTGGGGTCTTCTAGTCCGAAAACGGATTTGCGGACCGTTATTTGTCTAAGAGGACCTCGGCGAAATGGTCCTACCATTGTCAGGTCCCTGAGGGCAGCCCACCTGGAGAGGAAAGGATAACACCTCAGTATACGGTGCCCAATCCTCCTCAGTGCCCTCACGGAGGCTTGATACCCCTGCCACCCTCGGTGCTTCAGGGCTCAGTGAGTGCCGACGAGCGAAATTCCCAGCTGCCGCCCGGCAACGGTACGGCACAGGAGAGCTCGCCCCCTCAAGTGAGGCTGCTACAGCAGTCGGGTCGGTTGTTCCCTCAGTGCCCTCATGAAGGTTCACTGATCCCCCTGCCACCTCGGTGCTTCAGGGCTCAGTGAGCTCCGACGAGCGAAATTCCCAGCTGCCGCCCAGCAACGGTACGACACGGGAGAGCTCGCCCCCTCAAGTGAGGGTGTTACTCAGCACTGGAAGTTGCTGAGGTTTGCTTTCGGGGGCGAAGCATACCAATATAGAGTTCTTCCCTTCGGCCTGTTACTCTCACCCCGCACTTTCACAAAGTGTGTGGATGCTGCTGTGGCTCCACTGCGACTCTAGGGCATCCGCATACTCAATTATATCGACGATTGGTTAAAACTAGCTCAATCAGAGCAGATGGTGGCTCGGCATCGAGATGTCGTCCTCGCCCATATGAGAGAGCTGGGGTTAAGACTAAATGCCAAGAAGAGTGTTCTTTCTCCACTCCAGAGATCCGCTTATTTAGGCGTGGTGTGGGACTCAACCTCGATGCAGGCACGTCTGTCTCCTGCTTGAATCGAGTCAATCCTCACGACAGTCACGAGGGTAAGAGAAGGCCAGTCACTCACTGTCAAACAGTTTCTGAGGCTGTTGGGCCTGATGGCAGCGGCGTCCAACGTGATACCTTTTGGCCTGCTGTACATGAGACCCTTGCAGTGGTGGCTCAGAACCAAAGGATTTTCCCTGAGGGGAATCCGCTTTGCATGATCAAGGTCACGCGGCGATGCTTACATGCCTTAGACATGTGGAAGAAACGTTGGTTCCTGGTTCAAGGCCCGACGTTAGGAGCTCCTTGTCGTCGCATAAGGCAAACGACGGATGCCTCTCTCATGGGCTGGGGAGCGGTCATGAGTGGCCGCTTTGCCCAGGGTCTGTGGGAAGGCCATCATCTCTTTTGGCACATCAACTGCCGGGGAATGCTGGCCGTGTTTCGAGCTCTGACACACTTCCTTCCAGACCTAAGGGGGCATCATGCGTTTGTCCGCACAGACAACACATCGGTGGTCTCCTACATCAATCGGCGGAGTTATGGAAGCTGTGGGCATGGCCCCTGAGGGGGCACAGCTCCTAGCATCTGGTCTCTCAACTGAGGTTGTTGAGGCTGTACTCCAGTCCAGAGCTCCCGCCACTAGGAAACAGTATGCCTTGAAGTGGAAACTTTTCGCTTCATGGTGCGGACAGTGACTGCAGGACCCAGTCAACTGCCCAATTGGTACAGTTCTGGAGTTTCTGCAGGAGCGATTCTCCGCAGGGTTATCTCCCTCCACTCTGAAGGTATACGTGGCGGCCTTAGCTGCTTACCACGCCCTTCTGGGTGGTCAATCATTGGGAAGACACTCACTTGCCACTCGTTTCCTCCGTGGCACTCTGAGGCTGAGGCCAGTACAGCGCACCGAGGTGCCCTCATGGGACCTGGCTGTGGTTCTGGAGGGCTTATGCAATGCCCCCTTTGAACCCATAGAAGAAGTTTGGTCAAGTTGCTCAGGCTCAAGACCATCTTTCTCCTCGCTATTTCTTCACTAAAAAGGATCGGGGATCTTCAGGCACTCTCTGTTTCATGCTTGGAGTTCGCTCCAGGCATGGTTAGGGCATTCCTTTACCCGAGGGCCGGGTATGTCCCTAAGGTGCCCACTTCTTCACCAGGGCCCATAGTACTTAAGGCATTCTGTCCTCCTCCGTACCAGGAAGTAGGCCAAGAAAGGCGTGATCTGCTCTGTCCAGTTCGAGCACTGGACGCTTACACACACAGAGCTGCCCGTGGCGTAAGGCAGATCAGCTTTTTATTTGTTTTGGTCCGCCAAAGAAGGGATTTCCGGCGACCAAGCAGACTATGGGTAGGTGGGTGGTCGAGGCCATCTCACTAGCCTACGAGTCCTCTGGCCTCCCGTCACCTATGGGGGTCAGAGCGCACTCGACCAGGAGTATGGCGGCCTCCAAGGCTTTCAGCTTGGGTGTGGCCTTGCAGGACATTTGTGCTGTGGCGGGCTGGTCCTCTCCCCACACTTTTGTCCGCTTTTACAACCTAGACCTGGCTTCTACCCCAGGTTCCCAAGTTCTCTCTTCGTGATGTGCTCATAGGATACACACACAGGCAGGGACTTGGTAGTATGGCGCAGTGGGTATTCTCGTTCCCAAAGCGATCCGACGCAGCTCGAGTTCTTGAAGGGGAACGTCTCTAGATTATGTATGTAACCATGGTTCCCCAAGGGAACGAGACGCTGCGTCTCTTTGCCATACTCCCTGCATCCCTGCAGGCGCTACTTCATCGAAGCTGGTTTGCGCCCGGCCGGATGCGCTTTTATGCTTTCAAGTGCTTACATCACCCTGTTTCAGTGCGAGAGCACCCTCTGGCCTTCAGATGGAGATTTACTACTGATCACAGAACTGTGCTTCACTGAAAGATACGCATGACAATTGCAGCTTCTGCCTAATCGCGATTTATCGCCTTTGCAATTTAATTTCGATTAATCACGCAGCCCTAATTCAGATGCAGAATATAGATTAGCAGAGACTGACATTCCCAGATGGAAAATCTAACTTAAAGGGGTAACTGTGTTTTAGTTTCTAGCTGGTTAAAGCTTGTCAATAGCTGGTCCAAACAGGTGATAAGCTAGTAGACCAGTTTGGGTGGTCTATTAGCAAACCAGGTGGTCAAGATTGTTTTTGGAAGATGGTGGCTGGCCAACCAGCTAATAAGCAACAAAGACTAGCTAATAACCAGTTTGCACTGACTAATGAATTATATTCAGCTTGCACTAGCATAGACTAGCTAATATCTAGCTTGCACTAGCTTAGACCCAATAATGACCCACTCAGACTAGCCATCTTGGACCAATTTATAACCAGCTTGCACTAGCATAGACCAGCTAGTAACCAACCAATCTTAGACCAGATAATAACCAGCCTAGACAAGCTAAGGACCAGCTAATAACCAGCTGCCCTAGTTTAGACCAGCTAGTAGCCAGCTTGCCCTATCTTAGACCAGAGTCAGGTGGCATAAAAGTTTAGACTAGTCTTAAAAGTTAGTCAGCTATTTTTTTCTTAAGAACTGGTAAATATTTTTTTACATTTGGTTACATAAAAACGTAGATTAGTCTAAGCTGAATCCAAAATATAAGACTGATTACCCTTTGGTTAACTGCTAGTTGGTCAAACTAGTTCTTAAGACACTATCTTAACATAGAGGCAACTAGTTTATGCAACTGGCCCCAGATAATAACCAACTAATAACCATTCTTCACCAACTAATAGCCAGCTTGCACTAGCTTAAACCAGATAATAACCAGCTTGCACTAACTCAGACCAGATAATAACAAGCTTCAGCCACCTAATAACCAGCTTGTACCAGCTGATGACCATCTTAGATCAGCTAATAACCTGCTTGCACCAAATTTAACCAGCCAATAACCAGTTTAGAGCAGTTGATAACCTGCTTGGACCAGCGAATAACCTGCTTGCACTACCTTAGACCAGATAATAACCAGATTGCTCTAGATTAGGCAAATTAATAACCAGTTTAGACCACCTAATATTCCAGCCTGCGCCAGCTAATAACCATCTTAAATCAGCCAACAACTAGTTTACACCAATTTAAACCAGATTGCACTAGCATAGACCAGCCAATATCCAGCTTTGACTATCTCAAGATAGATAATAACCTGCTTAGACTAGCTAATGACCAACTTAGATCAACTAACAACCAGCTTGCACTAGCTTAAACCAGATAATAACCAGCTTGTGCTAACTCAGACCAGATAATAACCAGCCTAAACCACCTAATAACCATTTTTCACCAGCTAAAGCCAGCTTGCACTAGCTTAAACCAGATAATAATCATCTTCCATTAACTCAGACCAGATTATAACCAGCTTCGACCACCTAATAACCAGCTTGTACCAGCTGATCTTAGATCAGCTAATAACCTAATTGCACCAGATTAAACCAGACAATAATTAGTTTAGAGCAGTTAATAACCTGCTTGGACCAGTGAATAACCCGCTTGCACTAGTTTAGACCAGATAATAACCAGATTGCTCTAGATCAGGCAGGTTAATAATTAGTTTAGACCACCTAATAAACAGCCTGCGCCAGCTAATAACCATCTTAAATCAGCTAACAACTAGCTTACAACCAGTTTGCACCAGCTTAAACCAGTCAAAATCCAGCTTGTACCAGATGTCATAGATGAGCTTATATCCAATTTTGGCCATCTTAAACTAGATAATAATTAGTTTTGTACCAGCTAATGGCCCTCCCAATATTCCAATTAGTGGTCCAAACACGGGTTTTTCAATGGCAGATTCTTTAAGTTTTACATTGCACTATTCCAGAGACTATAACTTTAGTTACTCTGTTGTTGCTTTAAATAACATCAGTGTGTCTTTGTTCTTCTTTTTCCCTCAGTGGCGATGTACAAGGAACCTTCACTGCATGAGCTCGTAGCGGAGCAGAGTCCTCCACGCAAAACCGTAAAGACTTCAGACTCCCCGTCTCACCAGAACGGCAGGAAAGAGGCCCCCAGAGCTGACGCTTCATAGCACAGGGGGCACATGCAGGGAGGATGAGGGACTACATAGACACTGAGAACTCCATTTTACTTCATGCAGCGAGGGCAGGAAGAGCTGTGTGAGCGGTTGTTAGCTGTGGGTTTTTGAATGGGGCAAGATCAGACAGATGAGCGGAGAATCCCTGCCTCTCTCTGTCGAACTAGCTCACATATATTTACACTGATCCGGCATGACACCTGACCCAACCACCCCACCCGTATGATCCCATAATCCTCTGAAAAAACATGTTTCTGTGCCCCCACATGCCCTACTTGAGTTCTCTCACAGTGTCAGACGAAAAATGCAAACAATATCCATCCTAACTGAAGAATTCAATTGACTTTTCTTTCCCTACGATTTCTCTTTGTTTGAACAAAGAGTTTTGGTGCAAGAACAAGAGCGAAGGAGAGAGAGGTTATTATCCAATATCATCATAATGATTCCAGCAGATGAGACCCTCACTGGTTCATTTTTTTTTCTGCCACCACTTTGCCAAAGGCTGCTCTGTGCTAGTAAGAACTATAGGAAGGAGTACAGTAAAATTTGTTTTTATTGGACCATTCAAGGAGGATCCAGTTCTATTGGTCAGCGTTGATTGATTCCTGCTGGGCCGCTGCCAGGGAAGCCAATGGCGTCGTGCAGAATATGTGATTGGGCAGCTTTTGAAATTAAAATAACTCTGTAGTTCTACTTTTTTCCACTGTCTGATATTCTCAGAAACAACCCGATGATGATGATAATGAGTTTAGATTGAATCCACGACTCAAACACATCTGTTTTTGGTTTAATTATGGCTACACCTGCAGATTGTAAGATCCCAAAAAAACTAAACTAAATTCTCTTGTGACGACTCTATTCATGTTTAATGGCCAGTGGGCTTGAAGCGGCATCCGTATCATTGGCAAAGGAGTGAAGATTATTCGGGGCAGTTGTTTGATAGCTCTTTGATGGAATTCTTACAGGGGATTACATGGAGTCCAGCCATGATTGCTTGAATTATTTACTCCTTTTCCCGGGAACGTTCGGCTCATTCAAGCAGCACGGACGAGAGATTTTAATATGCAAATTTAAATTGTGGTGAGCCGATCAATGACGCAGTGTTTGTGTGCATTTAGACGTGAGTATTAGAGTGTGAAAGAGAGAGAACGATGTGAAATTAACATCTGCTTCTATTATTTATTTGTGTGTGTGTGTGTGTGTGTGTGGCAGTCTGGGCACACATGTGTAAACGCACTGGCTCGCACACCACAGTTGATCATTTTAATGGCTCGGTCAAGTTTGGGCATTTTAATCTGCCTGGAGATGTTGACTGATGACCCTCTCCAGGTTTCATAATTGACACATAACCAAGAGGATGTGCTGTGACATCCAGGATCTCTTTGTAATTCCACAGGCACCTTATCAGTTTACACACGCCACACTCTGTAAGTTGTTTGCCATGTGTGCGTTTGAGTAAAGCATTGGTCAACCAGCTTTCAAATGGTGCCCTTTTGTCCTACAGAAGGGAAGCAACCTCCTCTTTCATGATGACATGCATTTGTGGGCCAGTAGCAGTTGCTGGGGCTGTAGAAGGTATGGCTTGAGTGGCTGTATGTGTGATAGGTTCATGACTTTGATTTTGCTGTTGTTCTGTCTGAGAAAGGTAATTTGTTGATTCTTATTTGTGTTCACATAGACATAATCTCCTTGAGCTGTGCCCTAAACATCTGAACAGCAAAACAAATCTTTGTCTAACATTTAAATCAAAGGACTTAAAATATTTTGGAAAATGCAACAGGAAGTCAGAAGAATGTATAGTGGACGTTAGTGAGGGTTTGCGCATGTTGCAGAAAGTTTTTAGCATGTTGAAGCATGGTACGTGTATGTGTCTCAATGAAAGTTTTTAGCAAGTTGAATATTAAAGGAATATTCCAGTTCAATTTAATTGAATTAACAACAGATGTGGCATAATGTTGATTAAACTAAAAATGCATTTAAACCTTTTCCTAATTTTCTTCAGAAAAAAAAATAATAATAATAAAATCTTGGCTACAGTGATGCACTTGAAATGGATATGATTTTCAAGCAGATATTCGAAGCTTTTAATTTGATAAAACATTTACATTTGTTGTTCTGTTTAAACAGCTTTAATATAGCAGTAAAGCTGTTTAAATGACCCTTTTTAATAATTTTTATGGTTTTAACTGTTTCATTGTCATGGCAAGTTGCCAAAGTAAAATTGAATACACTTTTATACCAAAAAAGTTAGTAACCATATTTACACTAAAATCATGTTAACATGCAAATTTTTATATCTTGTGGCTGTTTTATTAAAGAAAGACTATTTAAGACTAAGGCTAGGTTACTGAATTTGCCCTCATCACTTTAATTTTAAGTGCCTCACTGTAATTTTTGCTTCTTCTACTTTTTTTTCTTTAGAGAAAAGGGGGGACAAGAGAAAATTAATCCTTGTGTTAATCAACATAATGCCACAAGTGCTGTTCAATGCGCTTAACTTGTATTGAGCCTGGAGCATTCCTGTATTGTGTAGCATGAGAAAGTCTGGAGAAAGTTTGATTATGCAAGACGAGATTTGGGATGAAGACGATTCGCTGACTGCGAGAGTCTGTGAAAATCCTGAGAGCAGCTCAGGCATTTAAAGGCATTCGATTATGAGGAGCAAAACCAGAAGATCATTAAGTTGGATTCTTGGAGGAGAACGTGTGCTTTGGTGCTAATGATGAGAGCAAGATCCTGTTCTGTGAATTAGACACAAATTCTTGCTGATTGAGTGGAAGGCGAGGAAGGAACAGAGTCCCTCTGAGGATGGGGGGAGGTGAACGTGTACGTGCGGTGAATTTACCTGACGCTAAGAACACAAGGACGAATGTGGCGCGCATATGCCCCCTCATGTGTGCTCCAAAGTCATGCTCCATTTCCTGAGCAATCTCCCCAAACCCTCTCCTGTGTGTCCAGTGGCTATTAACCTTCCCTCCAGCTCTGTGTGTGTATGTGTACGAGTGAGAGAGAGAGAGAGAGAGAGAGAGAGAGAGAGAGAGAGATAGAGCGAAGTAACGATCGATTGACTCAATAAAAGCCAAACTGGAGAGCAATAGCCCAGCGCTGTGAGCAATAATTTCCCTGTTCAACCGAGGAACCCGAGGACATTAGCAGACGATGAACTGAGAGTTTTTTTTTGTTTTGTTTTTTTGTGGGACTTTATCCAGTCGGTGAGAAAGCGGCGGAGGAAAGGACAACATGGAGATAAAGTGACGTTCAGATTGCAAACCCAATTTTGGTATAGTCAAAAGGGCCTTGCACGCTCGCTTACGCTCTCTTGCTTCTGTCCAGACCTGGTTTTGCTGTGAAGTTGCTAGTATTATGGTATCAGATCTCTCCTGACTCTCGCTCTCTCTTTTAAATCAGGGCAAGTTCTCAAGGACACATTGAATCCACCCTCTGTTTCATTTGCCCTCAATTCAAGCATGCAAAAAGAGTGACGATCAAGGGAACACTTATGAAATTTTCATGCTGTATTTTTGTGACGAAAAATAGATTTCATACTATCTATCTCAGAGGAGTAAAAGAGAACAATATGTGTATATAAATCAAAGAATGGTTAAAAAGTAATATTAAATGCAATCAAAAAATTATGACAGTACTGTAAATGGGTGCTTTTGGGGAGATGGATTGCCTGGTCTTGCCAAAACTGCTGTGAGCCATAAGGACTTTGGACATGTACAGATTTAAGTTCCTTTTTGTATTTGTTTTTATTAAATTGTAATATTAATTGCAACCATTTTTACCCGCAGTAAAAAATTTCATTTTAAAGAACTGATGGGTACTTCCTTGAAATTAGTTTTTATATTTAGAGGAAAATATGTATGAACCTGAAACCTTGTATTTGTTTGATTGTTTTCTTTTACTGCTATATTTTCCCTTGTGCGAACTTGTTTTTTATGGGGTTTTTTTTCTCTTTTTATTTTATTTATTTTTTCATAAAGCTGTGCCGTTAATGGACTAATTTGACTTTTAAGACATGAACATAAACACATGATTTGCGAGTTTTAAGCAAAAAAGAAAAGAAAAAATCTCAAACTGAAACCTAAACGCTAACGCACCCCTTTCTGATCAGGTCTTCCAAACGAAATGAAAAGAAAACAAGCCAGTCCTTTTCTTCCCTGTCCTCTCGTCTTCCGAAAAAGCAAAGTCTTCCACTAGCCAGGGCTTGCCTGAGTGTGGCAGTAACTGCCAAACGGAATGCAGCTTCCTGCTTAAGCCCCGCCCCTGATCTTACAGCGAATGCAGGAACAGGCTGATTTGCTGACAGCCACTGGAGGCGGAGCAACACACACCTGCCCTACGAATCAGCATGGAGGCCTGCGCAGAGACTCAACGAAGGCTGACCACAGACTAACAGCCTGGGTCATTTGGCCATCCCCTGTGCCCCTAACCAGCACGGCGGATGTGCTGCTCTGAAAGCCGACACATCTGGGAGAGTACTGGGACTCTACTGCATGCATGCCACTTTGGAAATACTAGGCAAGGAGTCCCCTTTACAGAGCACAGGATCTCCTTAGCACCCTCTCCTGGCCTCCAACTTGCCATCCTGTGTACGTTTCTAGAGCAATTATACATCTCTGGGTTAGGAGGAGGAAGGGGGTGTGTCTTATTACTACATATAACTGAATAAACAGATATATTTGTATTATTGTAAGATGTGTGATGGACTTTGTTGTATATAATATGTGATTTTAGTTGTTCGCTGCTCCTGGTTTTAGAAAATTACCATGCATAATATCAGAAGCATGTAGGAAACAGATGGCGCAGACAGCTGCAGGTAGCCTACTCACAGGTGAGCAGTCAGGTGACAGGTGACAGACAACCTCTGCTCCCTTCACTTAGCATTGGCACACTGCACACGGACAACACATTCACACACAAGAGACGCTCACTGTGTGCAGTATTTATTAAACTTAACCCTTTTATGTAACCAGACCTTGATTAATCCTCTCACTGGCCACCTATGAACATCTGCATTATGTCACTGCATTACAGGAAGTCTCGCTAATCAGATGAGGAACAGAATTAATACCGCAGGGTGGAATATAAACCACAGCCCACTCTCACTCTCGCATGCAGACTCGTTATAAAATCGTAGATCATCTTCCAGACCCTTCAAGCAAGCCGAGATAATTGTCTTGAACGCCTTTACAGACCCAACAAACTCTTAAAACAAGTTTCTTCTATATATTTGAGAATTAGCTGGCAGTTGATGGATTAATATGAGAAAAATACATGCAGAAAAGGTCTGCATTTCAGCGTGGGAGGGCAAAACATAATTCAGATCCCTCTGCTGTTTAACAAGTAATCCTAGAAACGAATTCTCGATCAGGACTCCTGCTGAGAGAATATTCAGAAATATTTTGAAGGCAGATTGCTTAATGGAGATAATGACAGCATGTGGGTTAAACAAGGAAAGAGTGAATACATCAAAAGTATGGGATAAATAAAAAAAGATGGTTGCGCTGTGATCATTTCTCTGCAGGATGAAGGGAGAGACTAAAATACTGTTGCAGGTTTTAGAAAACACTTTAGAAGTTTTTACTTTCTTGTTTTCTCATGGTCACAGGGTAATTTTCACAAGTTCAACATTAAAGATGTTTTTGTCATGATGTCAGCTTTTCTAAACCATTTAATTGGCACGTTTTAAACATCATTAATCATTCATCGGTAAGCTCGAACATTTTTAACATTTGCGATAACATTTAAAACCAACTGAAACCACATATTTACAAAACTAACTAAACAAATAATAACACTATTAGATACGAAGTAACTAAATGTTTATCTTAATGAATAACAATAAAAATGACGTGATAAAACGATGTAGGCCATGCCAATAGAAACCGGTTTTGAGAATGAGAACTCTTCGAAACTCTTTCTGCGCATGCTCTTAGTTGAGAGTGAGCGCGCGAAAGAGAGCGTGAGCGAGCGGGAAAGACAGGTCAGGTAGCATGGAAAGCCCTAATATGGGCATGGTTTGGGCGCGTATTATGCAAATTAGTATCTACGAGCACGCGTTCAACAACAATACAAGATACAAGCGTTCAACAACAATACAAGAAACAGGGTAAGTACAAAACTATTTGTGTGCGGACCATAGTCTGTATAAAAACATGGAGGTAGTGTCCGTGAAGTCACCCGTAGGTTTCTGAAGACCGTTTTTGAAGCTCAAAATTGGGCGGAGCGGGCCGTCACCATCTTGGCAGCACGTCACCGTGCCTTACTCCCGGACAGTGCTGTGCAAGATACTTCCAAACTGTAATACATTATAGATGACTTGTTACTGTTATTTAAAAGTAATGCCTTACCTTACAATATTACTGTCTCAGAATTGTAATGTGTTACATGACTCCTGTATTACTTTTGAGTTACTTCACCAAAATAACTACAGAAGTAGAGCTTAAGGTAACACTTTATTTTAGGGTCTCTTAACTAGTTGCTTATTAGCATGCATATTACTAGAATAGTAGCCATTTATTAGTAGTAATTAAGCACATATTAATGCCTTATTCTACATGACCTTATTCTACATCCCTAATCCTACCCAATACCTAAACTTAACAACTACCTTACTAACTATTAATTAATTAATTAATTAGGAATTTATTGAGGGAAAATTCGTAGTTAATAGTGAATAAGTGTTCCCTATTCTAAAGCGTTACCATACTTAACATTCTAAAATGACTAAATGTACTGCAGAGCATTTTATATCCAGTAGAAGGCGATATGGTGTAGCATATTGACTGTGGGCTATCCAGATTGCTAACAATATAGCTTATAATTGGCAAAGTGAAGGCTAAAGACAATGCAAGAAAGGATGACAGCCAGAATCACAAATGATCCAAGTCTGTTAAACGTATGGTAGAGGTAAAGTGATTATCTGGCAATATCTGTG